TTGAACTGTTAAGTATTTACTGTTTTGTAAATAAGAATGCCACCTATTGCATTAACAAATTATTGACTAATCTTTAACAATTAAAATTGGTCTTATGTGATCATGGTTATGTTTGAGGTATAAAGTCTTGAGTTAATAAGAATAAATAAAACATTAATTATGCCACTGCTTGGGCATATTTGTACTGACAGAGGAATATAAAACAGTAAAGTCATTGAGGGTAAAATTCAGGACATAACCGACATTAATTGTAACAATAACCTCTGACAAATGAAGAAGCGCATGTTACTATTTTTAAAACTAAAATTTATGAGTCACAAAAATTGGTTAAAATGAAATCATATTTTAAATAATTATAGTACAAATCACCTTGTTAGTACATTGTTTTACTAAACACTGTTTAGTATCTTGCTTGTGTATAATATTAAATATTATTTCATTTTGATCGACCATTATGTCAAAGATTTTTGGATTCTACTGGGATTCTACTATATATTTAGTATTATATTGTATTATAGTATTATATTATATATTATATAGTATATTATACGAATTGTGGATATTTATAGGGATGCATTGTGGATGCGATGCTCCCTGGTGTGGATTAACGTCCGCACTACGTGAGTACTACGACTATCCGCAGTACTATCCTGATAATTAGACCAATTCGTAAATTACAAGGAAAAAATTTGGTTCGGATTCCACTATAAACTGTAGGTCCCTTAGTTGCCATTAGCTGTATGGGCTATTAATTAACAGCTGTGTCTAAGGAACATGTCGGCCTTAGTCACTAACAAGACTACAAGATCGCGCCACTCATCCTACACTCATCCTTTACTTATATTTGGGTTTAAATACGCACATAGTGGCGTCCCCATCTTAAATAATTGAATTGAATTGAATTGAATTTATTAAAAGTGTTGTTGTCGTGCTAAATAAGTACTCATTTACTATTACAGTAATTAACTACACCAAAAGTAATTAGCACTAAACTGCCATACAAACAGTTTTAGCTCTCGCGGTCACTAATTGGGCACTAGCTGTTTAGATAAAACCTTTTAAATCATTTGTGTAAAATACACGAGGCCATTAAAATAGTCTCGTCCTCTTGTATATGCAGCACGCGCTGTATTCGAAGCATGATTATACATTTCTAGTTTTCCTGGATCGTGGTTTATAGCAACCTATTTGTCATGCTATCGTGCCTTTGCATTTATACAACGTAGAAATACCAAATTTGGGATGCCAGGAGCATACAGATTTCAACTTCTTGCACAGTTTGTTGGCTTATGAAGCTCTATTTATTCCACCAGTGTGACTTGCATTGACATTAAAGGCTGTCGGTTGAAAATGCTAATAGTTTATATAAATAGAGATTTTAAGAGTTTTGTTTTAATTTCCATGTATATTGTTTTATATTGGTTTACTTCACATATCCCTTCTGCTGTTCCATAATGAGTCCTTGCTATTGGGTTAGAAGTTTAATAAATTATATGAAATAAATATTTGATAGTGTTAGTCAGTCCTTAATAATTTTGCGCTCAACGAAAAAGTTGTTAGATATGGCCTTTTATTCTGTATTCCATAGACAAGATGGAAAATGTATATTTTGCCTCATGTATCAAATTATGCCCTAATTATGTTCGGACTGCATCTGAGTGCTTTGTTTGTACACGGTTGGTTCATTTTTCAGTTTCTACAAAAAATCTCAAACGTCACGCCTGCTAAATGAGTCAGTTGAAAGAGTAATATTTATTTCGTCATACTGCAGCAAAAACAGCCGTTTTTAATGCATGCGTTGCAGGTCTAAAGTAGCATTTTTACTCTAAGGAATAAAAATTATTTTTAGTCACTAGGGAGTAAAAATCAGCTGTTGTAAACAGTTGTAAATTTCGAACGTTCGATCGAAATTATTTTTCGATTGATTTATTAGGTTAGGTTTCAGCCTATTGTCGTCGATTGCTCAACATATCGATGGTGTAATGTACTGTAACACAATAGTAATAGACGAAATGGTTGAATCACTTACTTAACAGCTGTTTCTTTGCATTAGCAGAAATGAAAACAAGCTGGAAGTCGTTTTGAGAGGTTAACCCCAACACGTTAATATTTTTTGTTATGGGCGATGAGAAAATGCTCGAATACTTTGCCAACAATTTTTGGCGAATACACAGATTTAACAAATCTATTGAATATGATTTCGTGTTGAGTATTAAAGGAAAGTTTAACTAAATAAGTTAAAAGCAGATTTTCGTATTTAAACTAAGGTTTGAAAACTAAATTTTTAGATAACTTTATAGTCTGGTAAATAGAACAGTTTTTAAGGAGTATGAAGATGGTTATTCAATAAATATTTTTCAATATTTAAGTATTACCTTTGTATGTGTTTAAAACTTGAATTATTTTACGAATAAATCACTTTAAATTAGTTTATTAATAAATCATTTTAGAGTTTGTACAATCGTCACAAGACAAACGTAAGAACCACGTTAAGTTTTGAAACGGGATAACAATTTGTTTGGATTCATTAATTATTTCAAGAGGAACGTTAATACTAATACAAGCCGAGAATGAGAATCTATTTTCAGCACAACTAAATGAATAAATTTGCAACGAGAGAAGTTTGTCCTTACGTCTATTTCTAACAACTGAAATAACGTTACAAGGCTTAAACAAGCAATCCTTTTAACCTTTCATCCCATCACGTCCTCCATTAACAGTGGTTTTAACGATATATCAAGTGTTAACTTTATTTTAACATACTAGTGTTTCACAATACAATTCATTATATTTACCTTTATACCGACTTAGTATTTTTATTTTTAATAAATAAGAAAGGGGTTTACGAGGTACGTAAAAGTTAGTGAAATTCATAATAGTTCAATATTACAATGAGATTTTTTTGTTAAATAAACAATAAATTATTCCCTTTTAGATGACCGTAACCCAACCCTGTGAATAAATAATCACCAATTTCTACATCACGTACGAATCATTTAGTAAATATATTCTACGCATCATTAACTGCTCACACAAAATACCTGCTAAACAGAGTGGATTTAATTAAGACCTAAGAATATAAGTGTTGATTTCTGGATTTCTAGTGTTGTTAAGTAATTTTCCTAGTAAATACTACTGTTTGTAAAAGACTGACAATGGTTTAACGACCTTACAACAGCAAATAGTCTCTTCGATTACAATTTGAGTTAATCTTCAAGTAATACTGTCATAATTATTGTAATTTTGTATTTTTAGCGAATTTCCCAAATAGGGAATGAGCTATTACCGTAAGTCTCATGGTAAGACCTTGATCCGGGACCGATTTACTTTATCGTTTTGAGGTCCCCAGAGGCCAAAAACACCATCCGTTCAAATTCATATATATATGTGTGTCCGTTAGCGTGATAACTCGAGCAAAAGTTACCCGATTTAGATAAAATTTGGTACAAACGGGTAAACCTACGTTTATTCGAACGAGTTCACGAACCAGCATAATCGGAATATGGGAACGGAATATAGCAATAAAAAACACACCTCAATACCGCCCCTTGTAGCAGCAAACCTAAGTACTCACTAAAAATTATTGATATTTAGATAGGAAATTAGTCTGACAATTTTTAGGAAATATTTTAGTATAAATCCAGCCAGGTAAATGGAAATTCGCTTAGTCTGCGGCGGGGGTATTTTATTGAATGGGCTTGAAATCTTTTGTTCATAAAGGTTCCGTAATGGGATGTATATTAGAATTTTTAAAATCTTATTCGTTAACGTTACAATTTTATATTCTCTTGGTTTTCCATTGAGAAACATAGTAATGTAAACCAATCAGAGGCCTAAGATTTCCCTCCGTGGTACTGATCTTAATAGGTTTTTAGTATACCTAAGACACATATTAGACTACTGTTGTTATAAACAGATAAACACTTAATCGATCTTAAAAGGAGGGAATTTAAATTTTTGTAACGGTCTGGTTTAGTAGCAGAAATGTTCTTAGGAGGGAATTGATTTTACAGCTAAAATAAAAAAAAAATCGTATTAGAAATTATTACCTACCGGTAACCATCTGTTTTGTCGTTTTTTGAGCCACACGTACAGTAAGAAGTGCGTTGCATTCATTAGGAGAGTGTGGAATAGGGGAATCGGAGAAACGTGAAACGTGACATCGAAATGTGAAGAGAAAAAGAAATTCGCGTGTCAACCCTACTCTTAAAGTAAGCCCGTTCTTAATACGAAATAACACTACAATTATGCAGTTTTGCAATTTTTTATAAGTGTGAATTTTTTTTCATGATCGAAAGATGTGATTGGTCTTCAGTTGTTTTTGTCATCACCTGAAAAGCAATTTTCTATCATTGACCTTAAAGCTAGATTTACAACTACCACAAACATACATAAGCCAGTACAAATATTTTACAGCCTACACTATGGAAAATACTGTTAATTATGACATAATACTTACAATAACATTAGGATTGTTATAGTACGTGTTGTTAGTGAATTTGTCGGTAATACTTGTATTGGCAAGTGCAATAATCTCTTGAATGTAGAAGCGGACGAAAAGCCGATTGTAACTGTTATGTCAAAACTAACTTGGATGAGTGCTTAGTACAAACTGAAAAATCTATCTCAAATATAACATAAGAGTCAAACTATAAATTAAACACTATAGGGATACTAAGCATGCATAAGTTATGTCAATAATAAAACTGTACTAGCACGTTGAGATTGTATAAAGAGTAAGTATAGCTGGGGATTTCAAAAGTCAACAACCGGGTTAACCGCATGAGAGAAATGGGTTTCGGGACTCGGGATAGTGAGTGTGAGAGCAAGAGAGATAGAGAAAATCATATTAAGAGGGGAGGGTGAGAGAGAGAATAGACAGATAGACAGAGACATATAGACTGGCATATTTCAACGAGTTTAAATTTCGTTCCCGGTCTGTATATATATTGACATTGATATTGTATTATGTATGTCGGGGCGAGTGAGGGAAGGATTACCTCCGACTAGACGTCTCTTGCGCAAACTAGTGACTCCGTCACCGGAGGTGGGGCTGCTGATCTCTTCCTCCTCTTCAGGGATGGTGTATACTTCTCCAGGACTGTGGTCATAAAACGGTTCCATAAGAACCCCTTGTCCAACAATACTCGGAGCGGTATTTACTTTGGCTTTATCTAACTCTTCGCTTTCCGTCTGATTCGAAATAAGAGATGACTCATTGAGGTTTTTAATTTCCGACAGAATACTTTTTTCTCTACTGCTCTCATCATCGGAAGTCGGAGAGGTTGAATAGGGGGAGCCCGGTGACAATCTAACATCAGGGTTAAATGAAGAAGAACCGTCGACTGGGGAACCGGAGCCGGCCGGTGGATACTCACAGGGGTCGGTTCGCTGGGGATCCTTATCCGGCGCCTGGTTCTCCCACACCTGCAACAAGACAAAGCACTTAAATATCCACAGGAAGAAACGTATACAAACAAGTAAATAACTACTGTTATCCGGCCCGACACTTGGTTCTCCCACACCTTCAACAAGACAAAACACTTAAATATCCACAGGAAGAAACGTATACAAACAAGTAAATAACTACTGTTATCCGGCCCGGCACCTGGTTCTCCCACACCTTCAACAAGACAAAACACTTAAATATCCACAGGAAGAAACGTATACAAACAAGTAAATAACTACATTCATCCGGTGCCTGATTCTCCTACACCTGCAACAAGACCAAATACTTAAATATCCACAGGAAGAAATGTATACAAACAAGTAAATAACTACAGTTATCCGGCCCGGCACTTGGTTCTCCTACACCTTCAACAAGACAAAATCTTTAAATATCCACAGGAAGAAACGTATACAAACAAGTAAATAACTGCAGTTATCCGGCCCGGCACCTGGTTCTCCCACACCTTCAACAAGACAAAACACTTAAATATCCACAGGAAGAAACGTATACAAACAAGTAAATAACTACATTCATCCGGCGCCTGGTTCTCCCACACCTGCAACAAGACCAAATACTTAAATATCCACAGGAAGAAATGTATACAAACAAGTAAATAACTACAGTTATCCGGCCCGGCACTTGGTTCTCCTACACCTTCAACAAGACAAAATCTTTAAATATCCACAGGAAGAAACGTATACAAACAAGTAAATAACTGCAGTTATCCGGCCCGGCACTTGGTTCTCCTACACCTTCAACAAGACAAAATACTTAAATATCCACAGGAAGAAATGTATACAAACAAGTAAATAACTACAGTTATCCGGCCCGGCACTTGGTTCTCCTACACCTTCAACAAGACAAAATCTTTAAATATCCACAGGAAGAAATGTATACAAACAAGTAAATAACTACAGTTATCCGGCCCGGCACCTGGTTCTCCCACACCTTCAACAAGACATAATACTTAAATATCCACAGGAAGAAATGTATACAAACAAGTAAATAACTACAGCTATCCGGCCCGGCACCTGGTTCTCCCACACCTTCAATAAGACATAATACTTAAATATCCACAGGAAGAAACGTATACAAACAAGTAAATAACTACAGTTATCTGGCCCGGCACCTGGTTCTCCCACACCTTCAACAAGACATAATACTTAAATATCCACAGGAAGAAACGTATACAAACAAGTAAATAACTACAGTTATCTGGCCCGGCACCTGGTCCTCCCACACCTTCAACAAGGCATAATACTGAAATATCCACAGGAAGAAACGTATACAAACAAGTAAATAACTACAGTTATTCGGTGCCTCGTTCTCCCGACCTTGCCAAAAACGTACATCTGCACAAAATAAGATAAATAAAACACCTACAACACAACAGTCACTCATCTAGCTACAGATATAGACGTAAAAGAACAAGTAAATGAATAACCATGAACACGTAACAGAATAATAAATTATAAGTGAATTTACAGAAATTTCGCATGAAATTCATATCTAATTATCTAATTTAATTTACGACTACACTCTCGACGATGGAGTAATCTATGAAACGGTCGTAATGCAGTATTACCTCTGGGTTATGAAGACAGTAAGTAATTAATAGGGTTAGGCAAAAGGGTCGATACCCCCTATTAACTTTTTAAAGGGTTACACCAGAAAAGCCAAACTCTGCACCCAGGGCTACTACCCCTCTGCATAAAAGTGCACTTTTTTGTTTGTTTCCCAATTTCGAATGAAATCCGAAATGGGTTATTTTTGGGGCAGCTCATGAATTTTAATGTAAAGCCCCATTAAGTTACGCCTTATTTAAAAGGCCATTTCCATTGCCTTCGTATGTTCAAGGTACATAGAATTCATTGAATAATTGTATTTGTGAAAATTACGATCCGTAATAGAAGCAGATTCTCTTCTCTGTGAAATAGAGAAAAATTGAAACTAATAAAACCAAAAATACGCTGATACTCCTATCAACTGTATGTATAGTTATGTCATGTGTGGCATGCTCTGGCTGATAAAAACACACAATTGTGGCTTCGATTATCTCAACTCAACCAATGCTGATATCCCGGGATTAGTGTTGAAGGTTGTTCATGACTATAAATCCTCATAAACCCTTATTCACCTGAAACTATGGTGGGATTATTGTTTTTAGTGTATAATTGTATATGTATACGTATATTAATTTATTTTTTAAGAAAGTTCTCTGAGGTTGATGCAAACTAATATTTACCTCAATTTTGTATTGGATTGAGATAGGGACCTCTATTTTTACCGATATTCGTTTAATTATTAGAGCAGAATGTCAAAGGAGGAACTACAAACCAGTAGGGTCAAACACCTCAAACAAATTTAATACATGGTCACATAGTATAGAACAAACATGAAATAAGTATTTGTGAATGAGTAGGATGAATTGCATATTTTAGTAAACTCACTAATGAACAAGATTTTTTACTTGTAATATTTTTACAAACTTCTCTTCCAAGAGTAGAGAGCTTAAGAGTATTCGACGCAATTAACAGTATCATACAACTGGACACAAAGCACATGAATCGTAGAAACGCCTTTGAACTTATGTCATTCTCTGACTGGGTCTGATGATGAATGGAACAATAGAACTCCTTCACCCACTTTCATTTATAAATGTCAATATGTAGTTTTGCTATTTTATTAAGCTGTTATAAATAGCTGTTACATGTTGAATGTTATCCAATAGCAGAAATGCTACTGTAAATGGCAGCTTTCTAAAAGCTTATTTGATAAACTGACCAATTCGAACAAAACATGGTTTAGGAAATTTACAATACAGGAATTTCCTTAAGTATTACCTCCTAAGGTATCACCTTAAGTCACCTGACCTTAGTTGGCAAGACCTGAACCTGGGAGCGAATTAATTTTTCATTTTGATGTCCTCAGATGCCAAAAACACTATCCGTTCAAATTCATATATATAGATCATTAACTCGAGCGAAAATGGTCTGATTTTGACGAAACTTTGTTACAAACGTGTAGTCAAACGAGTTTGCAGTTTTATGGGGTAAAAACTTTGTACAGTATTCCCATTTTGACCCCAAAATATAAGATTTCACAATTGATTTCTTCACCATTTGGTAGAGATAAAAATACAAATAATTGAATATACGCTAAAGCGTTGTTATGTGCTTAAAAAAACTGTCTCAAATAAACTGTAAATTTGTAATTCCTATGTTATTTTAGTGGAAAATAAGTAAGCTGTTGTAGCTTGCTTGTTTATGAACATATTTTTATCAAGTTTGAAAACCCTTTATTTCATACCGAACTACTCTATTAACATATTATAAAAAAAAAACACTCTAATACCTTCACTGTAGCTGAAAACCTATGTATTCGTTAAACTAATGTTATATAAATATAAATAAATCTAATATTTTTAAAGATATATTTTAGTGAAAATATAATCAGTCAAGTGAAAATTCGTTAAGTCTGCAGGTTTTCTGCAGCGGGGGTGTTATAAATATATGAACATAAGTGCTTAGCTTTTGAAGAAAGATTGGTGCTATCATTACTTTGCAGTTGTGAAATTTGAAAAGATTTTATATTGAAATAGTTATAAAATGCTATTCTAAGGAAATCTTATTATATTTTAAACACTATACCAAGCCAATTTGGGTTACCAATCCACCTCGATATCAAATAAATAATTAGGTATGAACATTTTCTATATGTGCACTTAGCTTAAAATGAATATCTGTTGTCTAAGGTATAACTTATTGTGCTATTTTACTCAGGTAGAGTTCCTTAAGGATACTATCTTCTCCATGAATATTTCAGAGAGATTTTTATTCAAACAGAGCACATCAACTTAAATGCTAGCTCCTAGCTAGCCCAGCGGAGCACGTAGGCCTAGAGAAGTTTATGTGATGCTTTATGTGATAGTTTTATATTCCTTCACTTACACTGATTTCTTTAAAAGACAGGTCTTTTCACATCTTTAATTATTATTTTGCGTTTTACTTAAATTTTGTTTTCAATCATGCAATCATTATGGCGATCAGCGTCATATTGGTTAATAGTCTCACATTCGTCTTCAAGGTAACTTTTTGGGTGATTGTCAGAAGATCTGGATCTTAGTCGAGTGAATATTCTTTGCCAAATTACATATATCTATAGTAAGTTAATATAGACTGACAGCTTGTAAGTTAATTGATAAAAACTTGTTTAATAAAATTGTAGATAACCATAAGGAAGTTAAGTATTTTGACGTTACTGTATACGCAAAAACATATTTTAGTCCAACCACGGTCTGTTCTTGCTAAAATTAATGATTATTTTTTACTCTGTAACGATAAATTTTGTAAATAGTCGTACGTATTATTTGTTTACAAATAGTTTGCACCTAGTTATTTTCTTATCTTTCTAAGAGCGTTAACAGTTAAGGGTTTATAGCTCAGGACTTCCGGCCTGGAGGCACGTATTCGAATCTTGTCAATCACCAATGACAAGTTTACATGTAATAATACATTAAGCTGGTGGTTAGGACCTCATCCTCAGCTGTAGGTCTATATATCAAGAAAAGGAAAAAACACTAACGCCTCTTAAGCAAAAACCTTCTCTGTATGGCCCTCCCTCCCGAAAAGGTGTAAGAAGATGGCAAAGAAGCGATGTCTTGGGTTCGTGTTCTTTTATTAAATTTATCAGTAAGGTTCATTCTTGCACTGTTAAGGCTCCCCTCTTGATTTGCATTGTACGTGTTACGCACAGCCTAAAACCATAGTGGCGGACTAATTCAAAGTTAAACGACGTTACCAAGGCCTTTAATAAGTTGTAAAAATGGTGTTTACCGTATGAATAAATAAATGAATAAAAAATCTGATATGCCCAGGAGTTTGTTCGTGTTGCTTATATGTCCAATCTCGCCTACAGTATGACGCTATACTCTAGGGACATGCCCCTGCTGTCCATAAGATTCTACTTAAAAAAAAAA